AAAAAATAGTAGTATCATTTGCCAGTTGAGGGTTACCAGCATCATTATTAAACTTCACACAGTTTTTTTTGGTAGCCACAAAGGTAGATCTCTGGGTATGTTGACACTGATGAGCTGTGTGATTTAAACACAATGTGGGGGACACACGAACTAGGTACAACCCTGAAGGTGGAAAGGAGAGGAAGATCAAGGAAGAGACACCTTTGCTGACGTCACCTCCCCCATCTTCGATCATGAGTCTCCTAAGGATACGCCCTGGTGCTTTAGACCTGCTGGTCAGGGGTTCTGCATTCAGTGGGTTTGGTACTGCTTCATAAAGGTCCATGATGAAAATAGAAGACATTTTATGTTACCTTCGAGAGTGATGGAAAAGGGATTAAGTTTCAATCTAGCTCCCAGGTCCTGAGTTGGGTCAGAAAACTCCTGGCTCTGGCTAATTCACAGATTTTTCTCTACTACTATACTTGTCAACAAAGTTTGCTAAGGGGTAGAAAAGCAGGAGCAAAAAAAGCAAAAGGGTCATGGAACATGGTAGAATGGTCTCTTAATTCCTTCTTTTCCTGGTACCATTGACCTCCCTTGCTCCCCATCTGAAAAATATCACTGAAAAGGAACCTTGTATACTCTCAAGACTGAAACAAACAGGAGGGGGCAGGGTAGAAAACTGAGCTGACTTCTTTGCTGGCACTTCAGACAAATTTCAATACTGTGAAATTATCTTGTGTTATCCCTCAAACTTCAGGTAGTTAAAAATGATTAAAAGACATGTTCTGTTGCTTAAGAATTTGCTGACATCTAATGCCTTTTTTTCTCCAAACAAAGGCAGTGGTGACATTTCTGAGTAATAAAGGATCTGAGAAAGACATGGCCCTGAGCAATACTTTTATTACCATTACTTTTTCACAGTTTAACTCCTCTGCCCCGACCCTCCCACCCACATACACCCTACCCCCTTCCTCACCGTTATTAATCTAACTTGAATCACTCTATTCTTCTCCAAGAGAACACACCCCAGTAATAGCAGTGAATCATAGACTCTGCTTCTCTAGTCTCTAATGGACTTGACAAAATGCCATATCTGAGAGAATAAAAGGAAAGGAACTTCAGGTGAAAGGAGCTCTTTAGGTTCTTGTTCAATATGTTACCCTCAATATTATTTACCAGATAAATTTTCTAGTTGCCTGGTGGTGGACAGGTGTTTTTGTTTTTGTTTTAATCATAACAACACGATTGACCATCTCCACATTTCCATGCTCTCCGTAGACACCCTACTCAGTGAAGCAACCTCTCAGGCATGCCTATAGCTAAGTCAAGGGCTCTTTCATCTTGAGGTTGAAAATAAAATCTTTTCTTTATTCTTTTCTTCACTTGGCTAAAGAATATTAAAGTTTACCCATAAGAATTTGATAACAAAATCTTCAACAGTTTTTGCAAGTGAATACATTATAAAAGTTCCTATGAAGTCTTTAGGTAATAGAAAAAAAAACCCAATAGAAATAATTTGTCAAATATTCTCAAAGGGAAATTTATGACATGATAGAGTACTAAATAAAACACATCTCCTTTACCATGGATAGGTCTTATAAGTTGATACTTGAATTCATGGCAAGAGAAACCTAGAAGAGAGTTTCTGAAGGCAATTTTCAAGTTATGTACAAATGTCATAAGAAATATTGAAAGCCAGTTAAGAAAATTTAGTAGATTTTCTTGTGTTATAAAATCTATATTATTTTGTTTGTTTATTTGTCATAATGGACATTATAAATCAGCTCAAGCATGTGTGTTCTGTGTAATTCTTCACCTAAGTGGATTTAAATCTGGTTTTAAAAGTGTACATTTATATTTTTAATTGTTTAAAAAATACCTGTGGGTACTAGCTATGTCTACATGATATATATATTTTTTGTCGACTCAGAAAAGTCAATGGAATGAAATTTAATTCATCCTGAGATTACCATTAAGATTTTAAAAATAATGTTAAAGCTTAGAATTTAAAAAATATGTATCCTGAAATGAAATTTAAAAGTGTGTGTGTGTGTGTGTGTGTGTGTGTGTGTAGAGAAAGAGTAAGTGTGGGAGGAGAGGGAGGCACTCTTCACTATTCTCTTGCTATTAACAAAGAATAAAAAACATCATGAAGATTTTTTAGGTCTATGTCATCATCTCACCAACAATAATCACAGAGAACAGAAGACACATTTTACCACTCCTTGATGAATAACAAAGTGACTAACAGTAGCCTTGGGTATTGAAGAAATTTTAAAAATGCAGTGAGAAAGCCTCCCTTAGGTTGATATTAATTACTGTTATCATGGAATTCCATTGCTCAAATTGTTCTCCATGGCAGGGTAAGGAGTCTTTGCCTTCTGGCTCTCTGGGGCAGTATTTTTCCCTGCCTGGAAAGTTTCAAAAGAAACATCAAACTCCTTAAAGTCAATAGATTTCAGGCTCCTACAGACGTGAAAATGTTTGCTAGGCTTTATCTATAAATGTACAGTGAAAACTATAGGGGCTGTATCCCAGATCTCTTATACTAAATTGAGAGTGGATTGCATGTTTCCATTCTTGTATGTGATGGAAGTATAATAAAATAGAAACATATATGGAGAGATCAATTCTAACAACACATGTAGGTCAGAGATGTAGGTCAACAAATGAACATTTCTGAAAGACAGGTTTATCTGTGTGCTCATTCTCAAGTTCTTTAAAGGTCTGGCCAAAACAATCCCATTTTAATATACCAGTTCATATAATAAGCAAGTCAGGACATTGCAAGGCAAGATGTTGTTTTCCTTTATGCAGCCAGTAAAAACAGCTCTAAGCTTAGGTTGTAATGATAAAAAGGATTTTGAAGCAGCTGATTTTAGGGAATCATAAAAACAACTCAACTTTCTGCCCCAAAGTATTATAAAGAATATGCTCAGTCTGCATTGTACTTCTAGTTTCAGGACAAATCATTCTGCCTTTTTTTTTTTTTTTTTTTTTTTTAGTGTAACTGATGCCAATGGATGAGGAAAGGGAGAAATGAAAGTACAGTCTGAGACCTGTGGCTTGGTTAGGTGAATAACACCCATGTCGCAAAATCATGAGTTCTTTCTTTCATTTTGTAAATTCCTTGAGGTTAATTTATATAATTTTTGAAAAACTTAGAAAGAGTAGAATACTTATTAATTATTCTGAGGGCTCCAAGTTTTCTTCTATTTATGGCTGAAATTGTGAGAGATCTCACAGTTCACAGCCCCACTTATAAAAAAACAAACCCCGTGGCCTTTTTTGGAAAGGTAAGTGAAGGGATAAAAGAACTATGTGACACATTTCTTTAAATCAATTGGAGAATTGTGAATATAGTTGCTATATAAAATAACAACTATTGAGTGCTTTCTAGATACCTAGCACTGTTCTCATTGCCTGTAATTAATTCTCATTTAGCCTTCCAATACCTAGGAGGTCGATATTATATTCCCATTTTACCCACCACGAAACCAAGGCACAGAGACAGTACATTACAAAGCACATAAAGTAATGGTGCCAGAATTTGAACCTAGACCATTTGACTCTCACATTTAAGTCTTTAATCATTCACTGCATTAGGTTTTCTTTAGGTTCTGTAGTTTTCAGTCCTCACCCAAGGACATTTTAGGGGGTTGAGGGGGAGGAAGGGTGGGGGTGGGGTGGGGTGGAGAGAGATAATGTTTGCGTCCCATACGAGCCCTGACCGGACTCGAACCCACAGCCCTTCGGTGCACGGGACAACCAATGATGCAACCAACCGAGCTACACCGGCCAGGGCTTCAGGTTCTGTATTTACTTTTATATCCAACTGCTTAGGACACAGTTAAACCCTCCTGAGTCTTGTCTACTTTTAAGCCAAAGTCACAAAGATGTTAGTAAAGAGACAATGTCAACGTTTAAAATGGCCATTGACTGAAAACACTGGTCCCTGAAAATTCCCACCTTCCTTGTTGACTCAGAAATTACTCAAACCGTCTTTCCCTACAGGCAGAGCTCCACCCAATGTAGTTAACTTTTTTGTTGCGCAGCAACAGAACATCACCACACAGGAAACCAAGGGCATATTTTAGACTAAGGATGTCGCTGCCCAGTATTCAGCAAGGGCCCTGTCTCCTGCAAACGTCTTCGTGCAGGAACAACGTAATCTTATTTGGGGATTGTTCTGCTTCCTGTCTGACACCACAGCAAATTTCTTTGGACTGCATTTTCTCTCAAGACTTGAAGCCAAGCTGAGGAAATCTAAATTTTGAGGTAGATACTGTAGAACACCTGTGACTGGGCCGCCGCGTTTGCGGCAGCAAAGGCTAGAAACTACCTCAACTGCATTCCCCGGGACTCTTCCAGGGATCGCTAACATGTTGGATTCTCAATAGGCCATTTAACCCAGCGCTGCTCTTCTGTGGTCTCTGCCTTGGGAGAGTTTACAAGCTGTAAATTTAACACACAGCTATTCTTGGGCACAGCAGTTCTGGTGCTGTCAATACTGAGGAAAGTCCTTGGCTGTGATGAGTGAGGAGACAAGACAAACGGGAGCTAGGAGAATGGGAGGGGCATTCTCAGACACATTTCATAAACACAAAAATAAGGAAACAGGAAGAAAGGTTTTGCACGGAAAGAGGAGGGAGGTGAAGCCGCAAAGAAAAGCACGCTCCCTCGGAATCAGGCAATCGTTGAGCACACGAGGGCGGCCGTCCGCACGCGAGCCGAGACTCACGGCTGCGCGCGCAGAGTCCCGAGGCTCTAGGGCGCTGGGCGCGGCAGAGACGCGCTCGTCCGTCAATCTGGCCAATCACGCGTCTCTGCCGCCTCCTACGTTTCTCCGCTCCGCCCGCGCTCCCTCGCGGAGGCTCGAGAGCGCGCGCGCGCGCGCAATCCTGCCACTTTCGGGCCCTGGGTGTAGCAGAGCTGCGCGTCCCTGTCAATCCAGCCAATCGCGAGGTTCTTCCGTCTCTCCCGAAGCCCGGCCCCTGGAACGGGAGCGGCTGGGCGGGTTCTCTGCGCCCAGGGGATGGCGGAGGGAGGTAGCGTACGGGGTGGCAAGTGGTTGTGCGAGACCTGAACTGCTTCGGGGTCTGCAGTGCAGTCGAATAGCTCTCCCTCTCCGTGGTCAAGGGGACCTCTCAACTGCACCTCAGGCCTGGGGTCTCCGGGTCTCGTGTATTTTTTTGCAGCGGTGGGAGGGGAGGGACCGCTTCTTTCTCTGTTTTGTTTTTGTTTTTTCCCCCGGTAAAGTTGTTGCCTTTGTTTCAGGAAACAAACTTTAGTCGACTCTGCTTTTCAGGGTCTTTTCGCTAGTTAAACGAAAACGATACGGACAAGCGTAAGACTCTGCTTTTCAGGGTCTTTTCGCTAGTTAAACGAAAACGATACGGACAAGCGTAAATTCATCTGCAGTTGTGTTCCCTCAGGCCTTATCCCTCAGGCCTGGCGGGTCCTTGGTTCTAATCACCCAGCCTTTAGGGTTTAGGGTAGTGTGAAAGGTCTGGTCCTGTTCTTTGAGTCAAGGTTTCAGTTATATTTCCATTCATTATGAAGCTGGCGTAATGAAATGAAAGCATTCTGTAACGTTCCAACGTTGTGCTTCTCCCCGTCCCCCTTACGGCAGGTTTGAAGGTATCTTGATGAAAACAAATGGAGGGTCTTGTTTATGTGAGACGCCAGCTAGTTAATCTGTCATAGAAAAGCTAGTAGTTACCATGTGGACCAACACAAACTTATTTGGGAGGGTAAATGGAAAAGGACAGCAAAAAAGCCAGGATGAATCACAGCTAAATGAAAGAGGAAGATGCTGGCTTACTTGCTGATGTTACCTACAATTAAAAAAAAAAGTTCTTTGGTAAAAACTGAGGGATATACAGAGGTGTGGGTTAATTTGGTTTCCATTTTGTGATTTTTTTTTTGTTTGTTTGTTTTTTAGAGGTAAACCAAGATTTCATTTTCAAAATGGAAAGTCCTTCAGACTCAGCTGTGATTTTACCGAGCACTCCGCGGGGTTGTGCCAATCTACTATCTCCCCCTACAAGCAGTTCAAGAAAACAAGTATGAAAGTCTCAGTTCTTTCAATGGATCAATTCTATATTTCTGGCTATTGTGGCAGTGGTGGTTTTTAAGTCTACTGATGATTGTTAATGAACATAATGTGTAGCATTAAAAAACTGTGGTAAATAATTTTAGATATTTCTCCTTAGATAAAGTATTTGTCTTTTTCCCACCCCCAAAATTTCATTTTGAATCAATTATTTAGTTTCACATCAGGTAATTATAACATTACAAAAGGAAGAAGTTTGAATCTGCAGTGTCATGAAGGTTTTTGGTGGCGGGATGTAGGTCTTCTACAAAATTTGTAACTCTGAAGCACCTAGAGCAGCATCAGGCATGTCCTAAGTTTCTGAAAAAATGTTTGTGGTTACTGGGGAAAGTGTCTCAACACTGTTGTAGAAGAGTGCTGATGTTGCTAAAATAAAACAAAACTAATGGAGCTTCCAGGAGTTAATATTGTGTTGGTTAGTTAAGATATATGGAGACAGAAAGCCATCTAGTGGTGTGTGTCTTTATTTCTAGTAGATTTATTTGCATCAAGAATGTTTTTCTTGATTAACATTATTAACGTTTATGCCTTTTACAGCCTATGAGTGCAACACTTAGAGAACGGTTAAGGAAAACTAGATTTTCATTTAATTCCTGTTACAGTGTGGTAAAACGTCTTAAAGTAGAGAATGAGGAAAACGATCAGACCTTTTCAGAGAGACCAGCATCTACAACAGAAGAAAGCTGTTCGGAATTTCAAGATAATTTTGAACACATAGACAGTGAATTTGAAGAAAGTTCACATCTGAAAAATACCTTCAAGAATATCAATGCATGTGAATCTAAGCCACTTGATACTGAGTCTTGCAGTGGTCTGCAGAATGACTTTGATGAGAATCGTCCCAAAAAAGAATTAAATGAAGAAAAGGCAAAATTGGTGAGGCAGATTCAGGAGAAAGAAGACCTTCTTCGGAGGCTAAAGCTAGTTAAAATGTATAGAGCAAAGGTGAGAATAATTTCAGAGTCATTGCGTAATTATTTTTTAAGTTGTTAAATTTTTTAATTTTTAGATAAATGATAGGAAAGTCAGTCAAAAAGAAAATTATTTTTAGCAAAATAAGCAATAAGCCAAGCATCCAGAAACCCGGCTTCCAACACCTCTTAACTCAATTATGTCAGATTTAGAGTAGAGTAGAAGAAGCTTCTAAAACATCAGATTCAGCTTCTTAAAAGTCCCAGCCCTTGTTTGATATGTAGTTGAAGCTGCATGTAGCAGTATTAGCAATATCAAATGTTACATGCAGGTACAATGAGAAGAGAAATGACAGCTGACAGTGGTGTTTTAAAAACTTAAACATTGGCCAGAGAGTATAATAAAAAGTATTTTTAGTAAAGATCTAAAAATCCAAATTATTAAAATTTCCAGGCATTTTATTTGAAAAAAAACAAATATGTATTAGATTTTATATTTCAACCCAGATAGACTGAATTAAATAGAACTTGGGCACTCTGAAGAAGATAACCTTTATTTACCTGGATCATTCACTTATATGCCATTGCTCCTTCTTCCGTAGCAATGTGGAATAAATGATGGAAGAGTATATCTTATTTGCTCTATAATTTTTAAGATTTTTCTAAATATAACTACTTGAGTTTTATGAGATAGTGAATGATGAAAGATATTTTTAATTTGAATGTTCTCATTTTTAAAAGCACAACTGTAATAGAAAAAGTGGACTTTTTAAACCTATACTGTTGCTTCTCTACACAATTCTGCCCTATTTAATAATTTTATTTTTTTCCTGAGGGAAAGGAAGGCCCAGAGCTTGCACCAAACAAAATAGCCATAGATCTCAATTCTAGTGACATTGTAAAAACCACCCTACTTTTTCCTAGGTAGAAGGCTCATTCATGACCAAATACGTTGGTACCCTTTAAACCTACTCTTGACTGATTTAACAGCTTTCATTAAGAAAGTTAAAATAAGATGCTTATCTAGTTATTAACATACATTTATGTTTTTTTTCCTGTTTCAGAATGACCTGTCTCAGTTACAGTTGTTAATAAAGAAGTGGAGAAAGTGTAGCCAACTGGTGCTTTATGAGTTGCTGTCAGCTGTATCTGAGGACAACAAGAAACTCAGCCTTACTCAGTTGATAGACCACTATGGGTTAGATGATAAATTGCTACACTATAACAGAAATGAAGAAGAATTTATAGGTGTTTAATTCATAATTTTTTCTCCAGAATATCTTTGACAACTTAAAAAATACTTATATATTTTGAAGATACATAAACCATTAGGGCTTAAAGAAAGTATCTTGATGAACATTAATTTAGGGTGCTCTGTTAGATAAACATATAAGTTCTCAAATGAAAATTAGTATTTCTGGATAAGTTTCTCAAAGAAAATTTAACATTTAAAGAAATGTGAAAAAATTGTACTCATGTTTTAAAAAATAAATTGGGTAGTTCTGGAAGTCACTTGTAATACATTGTTTTGTTTATTATGGTAGAAGAAGTTTTTTTTTTTTTTTTTTAATGTTAAAAAGTAGCCAATTTGGTGAATGTCTAAACCTAAATTGGTCTAAAAATGCCTGCCTGTGGCCTAAGTGTATGAACCTTGTTTCCATCCATTTACCACATATTTCCATCTGGATGGTCTATCAGGTAATTAAACTCATATGTCCAAAATTATACTCTTCCTGTCTCTTTGAATTTGTTTTGTTGTATTCTTCCTCTCATTTAGTGAAATTTGCCTTCCAAAACCACATATCCTCTTTTCCCACTCAGGACATCATGGCATACAAGGTCTTTCACATTCATCTACCTTTCTAGCTTCATCTGTGAAATAAAGTAAGCTTTGAGTGTCTGTTTAGTTCACAGTTACTTCTCAGTCAGAAACCCACCTTCACATGATTCTGGCTGCCCTGTTGTACAGTGTTACCTGTCCTCCTGGCTGTATGCAGAAATATGACCCAAGCTGGCCCAGTCTCAGAATTTGGAATTGTGCTCAGAAAAAGAAAGCTCATCTATTTTTGTGGCTGAAACTGTTGTACGTAAACTTGGAAGCAGAAGAGCTGGTGTGCTTCCAGAAAGCCTTCCTGAGGGCTTTCTGGATTTCTGCTTTTCGATCCTTTTAAGGGCGAAAACAGCTTTACTTATATTTTATTTTTTTAAAACAAACTTAAAAAAAGCACTTCCCTACTCATAGGCCCCCCCCCCTTCAAGTGTACCCTACTTTCAGCTCACTTCCCTCCCCATGATCTAACAAACTTAGTATTTGGCATAGCAACCCTGGTTGGTATGGCTTAGTGGGTTGAGCACAGGCCAGCGAACTGAAAGGTCACTGGTTCAGTTCCCAGTCAAAGCACATGCTTGGGTTGTGGGCCAGGTCCCAAGTTGCGGCATGTGAGAGGCAATAGACTGATTTTTCTTTCACACATCAAGGTTTCCCTCCTCCTCCCTCCCTTCCCGTCTCTCAAAAAAAAAAAAAAAAAAAACCAAACAAACAAAACCAATAAATAAAAATATTTGGCACAGCAGGGGACCCAAAGACTCTGCTCTTGCATCTGTTCTAATTGTTAGTGGCCATGACAGTAAACTCTGCCACCTACTTACCCTACCTCCCCACCCCTGCCACACATACAAATTCCTGCCATCTAAGACATTGCCATTGTGATTGGCTTCTGTGAACCTGAGAGGCCTGGCCTGGCCCTCTTGAACACTTGAACACTTAGAGGCCATTGTAGGCTTATTAGTTGGTCTAGTTTAAATGTTGTGTCTCAGGGAATAGGGAGGCCTAAGAAGAGGAACAGCTAAGGGTGGAGCAGTTAGAACACGTACAACATTTATCCACTAAGTTCGCCATCTTATATGGGCATGGTTTGTGGCACCTTCAGTTATCACAACAGTATCACCAAAGATCACTGATCATATGTCATAACAAATATATAATAATGAAAAAGTTTGAAATATGAGAACTACCAAAATGTGATTCAGAGACATGAAATGAGCAAATGCTGTTGGAAACATGGCACCCATAGGCTTGCTTGAAGTAGTGTTGCCACAAATCTTCAATTTGTAAAAAACAGTATCTGAGGCACAATAAAGTGCAATAAAATAAGGTATGTTGTATTAAACACCACAATAACATTTTTATTCATAAAAGTGCAAGCTACCACTTAGCACTTGCTTTATGTTTCAAAAGGATGTTAATTCCTTTGAGTATTACAATTATCAGCTGTTGGGAAACACCCCACCTGGTTTCAGGGACTGTAGCCTTGCCAACAGGCGAGAGGGCCCCAAGGCTGGAAATAATCAAGGAGGCCTTGGGAAAACAGGCCACTGAGGAGATGAAACCTGTCCCCCTGTCAGGGGTGCAGCCCCTGCCTCCCTTACATCACACTGCTTGGCCCTGTGATGGTTAGTCAAAAATGGGTAAGATTCCTAAAGAGGAGGGACAACCTAAGCCAGACACAGCCAGTAGGGGCAGCAGACAAGGACCTGGGGGACACAGAGAAAGGGCAAAAAGTTCCACGCCCCTCAGCTCAGCTTGAACATGGCCGGAGTCCTCATTCTATCTGAAAGAAATCTCCTTATCTCTTGGTGGCTCTGCTCCGCCTATCTGGCTCAGGCTTGAAACAATATCAAAGGCAGGTACAGCCCTAAACTGGATTGGTGTTCCCAGGGACAATCAGGCCTAGAAGTAAGTTCCTCTAAGCATGCTTTGTTCTTCTCTCTAAAGCTATGATAACCGGCTCATACTGGGAAGGAGATTTACATTATTCATAGACCCTGACCTGAGGCAGATCTCTTGTGTTCCTTCAGTTGTTACCTATGATCTCTATTTGTTTTCTGTAAACATAGCCTTTTGACATTGATTGATGAGCTTTTCATCTGTACCCATGCACATATGGTTCTCAATAAAAGCCTTTGGACATGGGAGTTTGGGGCCTTCCCCACTAGAGGGATGTTGTCATGTCTCCTCTCCTGGCAAACAAAGGAGTTTGTGACGACTCATGTTTATTCCCCCCATCCATGACAACCCTGGGACGGGCTCTGCAGGATTCAGAGCCCTGCTCCCTCCTCAGCTGGTTCCGGACAGTAACCCTCAGATCCAAGAGCGCCCCAAGGTCCCTGCAATGCATCGCTCCCCGCGACAATCAGCATCACAATTTCTAAGATGAGGAAACTTAAGATAAAGTAGTTATTACTTTATAAAGTAGTTAAAAACAAGACTTCCGGTCAAGATAGAGGTGTTAGCAAACATAGCTAACCTCCTTACACAGCCACATTAAAATTACAACTAAACTATAGAACAACCATCATTCAGAACCATCAGAAATTGATTTGAATGGGAGTCTGACAACTACAGAATTAAAGAATTCACATCCCTTCAGACTGGCAGGAAGGGCGGAGACATAGAATAGGCTCGTCCCACATCCACATGTGGCAGATAAAAATTTAGGAGGGATATCCCAGGAGCACGGAGTCCAGGCTCCGCATCGGGCCCCCAAACCTAGGGTTCCAGTGCCAGGAAGTTAAGTCCCCATAATTTCTGGCTGCAAAAACCAGTGGGGATTGTGTTGGTAGAAGAAACTTCTGGAGTCCCAAGCATTTTCTCTTAAAGAACCAAACTTACTCAGACTCCCTCTAAGCTCCAGTACTGGTGTAGCAGCTTGAAAGGCATCAGTGGCATACAGGGAAGAAATGAAATGTCTGGCATCAGGGCAAGAGCTGGGAGACAGATTTCTCCCAGACAGAAAGATGGGCAGAGGCAATTGTCCCTTTTCTGAACCTTCCCGCTACAGAGCCATAGAGCCACAGAGCTGGCAGGCAGGTACCATATCTGAGACTCCACCAACCTGGCTAACACTGTTTGCCCCACCCTGAGACTTCGCCCCATCCAACTTATGGGGCCACCCAAGCTGTCAACAGTGACTTTGCCATATGAATGGCTGGTCCTGGCTAATGCTTCTGAATTTCCTAAATCCTCTCAAACAATCAACAGCTGGCCTCACAGAGCCCCCAGCCTCCATACCTCTTGCTAAGTGGTCCCAGGCCCAGCATTAGCAGCAGCCAGCCTAGGTTCATAGCGTGGCTTTGTCTGGGAATCTCCAAGCCCAGCACAAGTAGCAGCCATCTGCAGATTGCTTAGGAGCTCATGCTGAGTGGACCTGGGCAGAGCACAGGTAGTGGCTGACCCTGGCCTACACCACCTGGGAAACCCCAGAGCCTGCTCACCCAGTGGACATCTACAGACCACCATAGAGCACCATCACCCTGCTGCTGCATAGTTGAGCCTCCACAGAGGGTGGAGGTTGGTGATGAGTGGTCACAGTCAATCCATGCAGCTGACTGGCCTGGGTAAATCTGTCCCATTGATGTGCCAACAGCAATCAAGGCTCAACTGCAAAAGGAGGGTGTACTTAGCCCACACAAAGGGTCCCCATCCTGGGTGATAGGGGAGACTGTGCTGCTGGACACTGCAGGACACCTACTACATTAGGCCACACTACCAAGACACAGAGTCAAAGCAGCTCTACCTAATACACAGAAACACAGGGAGGCTGCCAAAATGAGGAAACAAAGAAACATGGCCCATATGACAGAAGAGATCAAAACTCCATAAAAAGAACTAAAAAAATGGAGATGATCAATCTATCAGATGCAGAATTCAAAACACTAATTAAAAGGATGCTCAAGGAATTTAGTGAGGACCTCAACAGCATAAAAAACATCCAGGCAGAAATAAAGGATACACTAATGGAAATAAGGAACAATTTACAGGGAATCAACAGTAGAATGGATGAAGCCAAGAATAAAATCAATGATATGGAACACAAGGAAACAAAAAACAACCAGTCAGAACAACAAGAAGAAAAAAATCCAAACAAATGAGGATACTGTAAGGAGCCTATGGGACAACTTCAGGCATACCAACATTCCCATCAGAGGGGTGCCAGAAGGAGAAGAGAAAGAGCAAGAAATTGGAAATCTATTTGAAAGAATAATAAAAAAAAACCAACTTCCTTATTTTGGTGAAGGAAATGGACATGCAAGTCCAGAAAGCACAGAGTCCCAAACAAGATGGATGCAAAGAGTCTTACCCCAACACACATCATAATGAACATGCCAAAGGTTAAGATAAAGAGAGAATCTTAGAAGTAGCAAGAGAGAAGCAGTTAAATACGAGGGGTTCCCCATAAAACTGTCAGCTGATTTCTCAAAAGAAACTTTGCAGACTAGAAGGGATTAGCTAGCAGTATTCAAAGTCATGAAAAGCAGGGACCTGGAGCCAAGATTGCTCTACCTAGCAAAGCTATCACTTGGAATCCTAGGGCAGATAAAGAGCTTGGCAGACAAGAAAAAACTAAGGGAGTTCATCATCACCAAACCATTATTATATGATATGTTAAGAAAAAGAAGATCAAAACTATGGACAACAAAGTGGCAATAAACACCTACCTATC